ATATCAAACTGCAAAACCTTGCTATTCTGAGCACTCTCTCTGGGTGCAGTGAATTCCTCTTTTACCCCAAACAAAAACCAGCCAAACTTTACACAGGCTTTTAAGTTGCTGGTCTAAGCTATTGTCGGTATTGGCCATATTTTCTTTGCATTTCAGACAACGCCCGACTGAAAGTTAGCAGGAGTTAGATGAAACAACATAACGGAAATTAGAGCCGTAGCACTGCTGAAACGGGGGCGTTCAGAATGAATGGCCTACTAACGGCTCCATAATGGATTATCGTTTTAACACGATAGGTCTGCAAAACAGTATTTAAAACACTTCATTAAAAAAAACACATATTCGTCTAAAAAGGTATGTCTTTTGGGAAATAAACCGGTTTAAGAAAATGAAAATACTGTAGTGAAAACATTTATAATAGAAACTCACGACTAAACAGGCTTTGGCCTTGCTTTTAAAGTCGTTTGTTTAAGGCTTAGAAATGCGTAATCAGATTTCTAATAGCTACCACTATCTGTAGTTGGTCTCCCTTTAGTGTCGCTATGTTACACTGATTACTGGGTGGAATAAATCCACGGGAAGCGGGCGGTGACTAGCTAAATCTACCCCAAAATACAACATTCTACAATCACTAATTATATATCTTTTTGATATATGTTGACATTACCTAAGATTCTTCTGGAGAAATTTAACTGATGCCAGCGATAAAAGCCTGATAAGCAAATTACTCACCGCTTGCCTTGCTATCTCAGTTGACGCCATGGTGACAGCTGCTAGCTGGTGAACGGCTTCTCTCTGTGTGCAAAACGAAATGCACCGCTGAGGTTACACCGAAAGATGGCCTACTAGGGATATACCACTGTTAAACTGGCTATTTTAGGTATCATTAAGGAATATAGTTTAATGATTTACTCACAAGGAAGGTTGTTTAGTAAATACAAATATAAATTACGTTAGATTCACACCGCAAGATTTCTTTTAAAATAATGTTTAAATGAAACTGCTAACAGAGCTCCCCCATAGGATGTCTTCATGGTTTCGTCTAGTGGGAATGGCAGTGAACCGCAGACAGTGAACGTTACAAATGATTAGTAAACATTAAGTAGCTAAACCTAAAGTGTTGGTTTTGACTTATGGGATTGTTCTGAATTGAAACACACTTATAAATAATCAGATAAGGCAGTTTTGGGGAAAATATTCCTCTGTATAAGAGAATTTCTACATTTGTTTTGGTCAACTTGATGGCCTCCTTTTCTTGCAAATAGGTTTGTAATTATAAAATAAATTTAAATAAAAATGAGAACCTCTATTGCCACGGAAAATAGAAGCATAATTTTCTCTTCAACGGTATTATATTTGGAACCAGGGGCATTGATAGACATAAAGCTCTACTGGGGCACAAGACCCTCATTAATCAAATCACACTTTTTTTCTTGAACGTTTATTGCGTTATTAGCAGAAGTAGCTTTATTTTATTGTGATAAGTACAACTAAATTATGTTTGGAGCCGACGGCCGCTGCATGCATACGCGGGGCAACGGGTTCAGTGTCTTGCCCAAAGACACTTCGACATGTGAACTGCAGGTACCGAGATTCAAACTTTCAATCTTCCGGTTGGGAGGCTACTGCTCTACCCACTTCGCCAAAGCAGGTACCGCCGCCGTCGCCCCAACTATTAGCCGACTATTCCACTGCCTGCTGCTACTACGACTAGTTGTAAAGGTAAAAGTGTGATTTTAGTGGTGCACAGTAAGATGAGCACTGGGGCATGTGCCCCAGGAAAAGGGGTCTAATGACGCCTATGTTTGGAACAACTGTGACATTTTATTAAAAACCACTCCATCCCAGACAGAGCCTCTTCACCCTCCTACCATCCAGCAAGTGGAACCAAAACATCAGGGCCTCCATTACCAGGCTCTGTAGCTTCCTTTTTAGCTAATCAGCAGCTTGTATACCCAAGTCGGGTCTGCAATCCCCTTCCCATGAACCAACTCAATCCTCCCTTCAGACAATACCATAGCTCTCAATCCATGGACAGTAATGATGTTAGGCCTACACATCACTATATTCCTCAGAGCTTTATAATCCACTGCCCTGTACAAAATAAGATAGCAGTCATTTGTTGACAGTAATCTGAACAACAACCATCTTGTTGCACCTTCTTTAACAAATGAGCCAGCTGCTAAGTTGTTGCTACTAATGTATGAGTGTTCACCCTCTCAATTTTTAGTTTAGTGTGTGCGGTGGTTAGTGCTGTTACTTCACAGTGAGAAGGTTTCAGGTTCGAGCCCCGGCCGACCTAAGGCCGTTCTGTGCGGAGTTTGCATGTTCTCCCTGTGCTTGCGTGGATTCTCTCTGGGTACTCTGGCTTTCTCCCACAGTCCAAAGACATGCAGCTTAGGTTGATTGGTTGGGAGCTGGAGCCAATCCCAGCTGGCATCGGGCGAAAGGCGGGGTACACCCTGGACAGGTCGCCGGTCCATCGCAGACGAAGAACCACACACAGACACACTCTTATTTGCTAAATTCGATTTATATAATTCAAGATTCGGGCAAACCAAACCATATTTTCAAACATTTCACAAATAAATCTGTCACTTATTTTCATTGCTAAAGTTTATGGGGAAATAAATTGTCAAATGGCTGCAAATTCTGGATCTGACCACTGATTTCTGTCTGTCTAAAACCGTTTATATTTTTATTGCCGTCTCTTTTTGTGCCATTTCAGTTATGATTTTTTAAAGGAGAAGAAGAAGAAGAAGAACCGCCCATTCGCGTCATGTGTGCTGCAGTAACCAATAGAAAGAAAGCAGTGAATTTAAAAAGGAGCCGCGGTTGCTAGTCACAACTACATAACAATTTTCTGCTCCAACAACAAGGAGTAACTAGCGACGTTTAACAGAGCTAAGGTAAATGCTAGTCCAGTTTGTATGTATGTTACTCTTCTAAGTAATACAAACAAGTTTTAAGCGTTAGCTAGTATAAACTCTGGTAGCATGGTGTTGGCTGGTTCAAATTGTACGTTTGTAAACGTTAGCTATGTTTGCAAAGGTTTTGTGTAAAACTTGGTTAACATTAAAATTACGACCAGGAACAATTCACTAGCAGATATGTAACGTTAATCTTATCTCGATTATCTGTCAACGTTGACAACAACTGTACGTAGCAAGCTGCTATGTCCTTCGTTGGCAAATATCAGACAAAACTGGAAGTTTACATGAATTTCCCAGAGCTGCTTGTTTTATCCAGCCCACAGTCCAAATCAATGACTGCAATGAAGAAGAGTGACAGGACATTTGAGAAGCTCGAGCCAAAGAAGACTGTTTGACCAGCAATTATCAGAATTGTTGCTTTCAGTTAGCTTCATTTATTTTGTAACTGATCAGTTCTTAAAACATTGTCTTAATACCTTGAAGTGTCCCATGATCTTACATGCACAATACTGGGCCCTGGAACAGACACATTTTAAATGTATTACAAAAATGTCTGCTACAGAAGTTCTCTTTGATGGACTGCAGTTTAAGTAGCTAATATTAACTTGTGTTTTCAGGTACAATGGCTAATATCATATTTGCAGAGCGAGAGAACACACATCTCCATGCACCTACTCTGAAAATGCGACAGCGACTTCAGTCTGCTCCAGGTATGAAATTATTAACACTGTTCTTTTTCTTTTTCTTTTTTTAAATTGTAGTATTGGTCTGACTGGAAATATGTGAACCTTTTTCTTCCCACCAGAGAAGCTCTTGAAATCTCCCATGATAGCCAAAACATTCCACACTCCTCTGCCATTTGGTCGGAAGGCTTTTGGTACGGTCAACAAAAAGGTCTCGACCCCTGCCATCAACGCAAAAGAAAAACTTCTAAAGCCAGAGGTTGGAATAAAATGTAGTAGTTACAATATAAAAGTAACATCAGGCTGTAGTCACATTTGTTTTATACCTTAAACTAAATGTGTATTATTATTTTGTTCCCTATAGGAAACTAAAGTAAAGCATGCTCCTCGCACCCAAGTGGAAGAATATCCAGAAATTGAGAAGTTTTTCCCCTATGACCCTCTAGGTAACGGACAACTTCAATAGTAACAGATCTGGGTGTAAGGTTTTTCCTTTTGGTTGCAATATTTAAATTTTACAGTAATCATTTATAGCCAAATTTTAGTCAGCTATAGGGTAACATGCTGCTAAATCATAAAGGACCAAAGACATTTCTCGTGTAAATCGCACTGCAGCATCACGTTAGCTTTGCTATGAGTTCTTTCACGGTTTCCCTCAGGGCTCCACTCAGTGAGTCCTTATGTGTTGACAACATAAGACACTGTGCACACTAAAAATGTTGGACTCTACATAGTATAAACCTCATTTGCATATGGTGTTTTAACACACTTTTTTTTTGTTTGCCAGAGTTTGAGAAGTACCACAAGCCTGAAGATTTGGTTCCTCTCAGTAGCCTTGCGCTGCCTGGACTGGCCTTTTTCCCACCAGCTCCACATCTGAGTGAGGAGGACCTGGAAATGTTTCCACTCCTAGACTTGTCACCTGTAAAGATGCCAAAACATTCAGGTAACCCATTTACAGCTGCATTTACACCTGATGTTCAGGGGTGAAAAGCCTCATTTTGATGCAATGAATGTAGGTAATGTAGGTGGGCAGTTTGGATAAAATGCTCCAGTATATTCAACTTAATTAATATTGTGACAATGTAAAAGGCTAAATAACTCATCAAATTAAATGCCTAAAGTACTTTCATCACATTGAAGAAATTTTAAAATCGGCATAAAACAAATCTTATAAGCTACATGTCTGCAATGGTCAACGTTAAAGTTACAATAAAATGTGTGTGTGTGTGTGTGTGTGTGTGTGTGTATATATACACACACTTTGGTGCAGTCTTGTATTCCTTCCCTCAAGCCTTTTTTTTTTTTATTTTTTTTTTTTAAATCTCATCATAATGCCTAGCTGATTTTAAAAGGTATTTAACCAAACGTATGTATCCTTAGTTTGGGGGTTTAGTTTTTGAGATTTCTGCTGCCACCCCAATATGAAGGAGGCACAACTGTAATTCTAGCTGTTAAGTATCGTACAGACTTGAAGCTGCAGTTTTGTCATTAACTTGACTCCTCTTTCCAGATCAGTGCTCAGAGCTGGACGCCTTTCTTCAAACAATTGATGAACTGACCATCCAGCTTCCTCCAGAGCCTGTTACTGACTGAATGTGAACGCTTGTTTCTCTTATGACTGCTGTTTTGTTATTTTACTGAAATAAAGTTGATTTTTTTACGCGTCTTTGCGATAAAACCTTATTTGCATTGCTCCGGAATGTAGGCAGTTGATAAGTGGCAGGCTGCCAAAGTATTCAGTGAATTACTTCCTGCTTTTGAAGTCCATCAGTGGTCACATGTTAAGGATCGTCGTCGTTGGTTTTGCCAGAATATAGAATGAACTTTCTTAGTTCCTCTTAAGGAAAAGAGGAAATTCGTCTTTCGTCGTCCACATTTGGACGAAATACTTTGATCCCAATCAATTAGTCGGTAACCTTTAAACGTTCAGTTGGACAAACGCCTTATGGTCGCTACGCCTATCTTGGTGTGACTGAATCTTTACCCGAGTCTATAAACGCTTTGGACACCGAACAGGTGAGCTGTGTTACCGTGGCTGCCGTCTGACACCGGGACCGACGACTGTGTTCAAGGATTAAGAAATGTTTGTAAAATGGAGAACTGCTCTAGGCTATCGCTCGTATATCATTACAATTAAATGACATGCTTTAGACGTATATTTATCAAATTCTTTTACTCCCCTGACAGGTAATAAAAATCAAGGGTGTGGAGTGAAACTGCCCAGTTAATAAATGGCCTAATGGAACATTGATATCTAAGGGGTGTTGTCTAAATAAGAGGAAGTAGCCTCGAACTCTGCGCACAGGGGGGGCCGAGCGGCATGTGTGACAGCGGATCAGGTGATACTGGATCCGAACCAGCTGTCAGCGATCCTGGATCCGAACCAGCTGTCAGCGATCCCGACGCCCACGGAAGCAGGACAGCCAGACAGAGCACCGTTGTGGAGCGACTTTCACGATATGGCATGCAGGTCATGCCCAGCGCCTTGCAGCGTAGGTCGAGGCTGCAGAGGCAGCAAGAAGTCACTGACGGGTCCGCACCGGGAAGACTGCAGAGGGAGTCTCCGGAGAGAGGGTCGCTTACGCCCGCCATGCGTAAAAAATACCTCAAAGAGTTGCTTCTGAGCAACCCATCAAACAGCGGGTTTAGTAGCGTGCTGTCCACACAAACTCTAGGTGTGTCTTCTGAGCAGGACGCAGACTGGGCTTTGTACCCAATGGAGCACGCATGGATGCTGTCTGCAGTGGAGGGAAGCTATGAAACCATCCTAGAGTTCATCTCCGAGGACCCATATCTGTTGACCAGGAGGGATTTCATCAGCGGGTACTCGGTCCTGCACTGGCTGGCCAAGAACGGACAGGACGAGACGCTGGTGCAACTTTTGCGGTACGCAGAAAGTGCGGGGATTCCCGTGAATGTGAACCAGCGGGGCAG